GTCTACGATCGTTGGCAAAAAAATTGAATGAGAAGCTTAGTCCTAGATTTTATGGACCCTACGAAGTGGTGGAGCGAATTGGTGCTGTAGCATATCGATTATTGTTACCAGTGGAATGCAAGGTCCACAATGTCTTTCATGTTTCACTTCTTAAAAAGGCTATCTCACCCACTGACACCATACAGCCTCTTCCTCCTATGCTGAATGAGGAGTGGGAGCTCAGTGTTCAGCCAGAAGCTGTCTTACAATGGCGACAAAATTCCATGGGTCGTGTGGAAGTTTTGATTAAGTGGTTAAAGCTTCCTTCCTTTGAAAATTCTTGGGAAGATTCAGCTCAAATTGATTTCCAATTTCCTGCATTTCACCTTGGGGACAAGGTGAAGGTTTTGGGGGGGAGTATTGATAGAACTCTTCTTAAGGTGTATAGTAGAAAGCGTCACAGGGGATCAAATCCTAATGCTGACTCACAGGAGAGAGGGAATATCATAGTTGTTGGTGCTGAGGCTGGTGAGAATTCGGTTAGGGAGAGAGAAGTTGGTGTGTTGCATGGGGCTGAGGCGTGAAAGTGCATCACAAGTAGTTATATAAACGGGAAAATAAAGGGATGAAGGAGGCTGGAAATTTGGGAGTTCTTTGGGAGGGATCAGTGTCTCTTATTAGCACTGAACCAGCTTGGGAAATTATTGTAATTGGTGGTTGTTTTTGTGCTCGCGTTTAACTTGTTTCAGTCTTAAACAGTATTTTGTTATTGTAATTTTTGCTTGATAATATACAGAAAATCCAGTATTCTGGGCCAAAACCCTGTGTTGTGCGTATTACTCTGACCTATTATATTACAATTCTACCACAAACTAAACTCTTATTTGCACTTTCAAACCCTGGAGGCTGACTCATGTAAACAACCTCTTGCAAATCTCCATTAAGAAAGCATTATTTATATCTAGCTGCCTAATAGACCAAGAGTGAGTGAGAGCTAAAGTTAGCATTATCCAAATAGTGTCTGGCCTGACCACAGGAGAAAAGGTTTCATTGTAGTCAAATCCCTCTTGATGAAAACCTTTGGCTACAAGCCTGGCCTTGTATTTGTTTACTGTACCATCTGGATTTTCCTTGACTTTAAAAACCCATTTACTGCGAATAGCCTTCCTGTTTGGTGGTAGATCAACAAGGGTCCAAGTATTGTTAGACATGAGAGCATTATATTCAAGTTTCATGGCATCTAGCCAAGGTGGGCTGGCCAAAGCCTGTTTCACAGTCGACGGTTCAACATGAGTAAGTAAATGGCCAGTGACTTGGATTTGGTGACAATGGATCGAGTAGGTGACATATCTCTTACAATATTGGAGGGCACATACTCAGAAGGTGAAGAGGATGATGCAGTAATTGGAGAATAGGATTTTGAATTATAAGCAAAAGAAGAAGAAGAAGAATCAGAAGGAATCTGCACTGATGTGGCAGGAGTAGAAGGAGTAGAGTCTCACTGTGTGTGTGTGACTCTAAAGGAGGATCAGATGAAGAAACAGATATAGATGGAGATGGTGAAGGAGAATGAAATAACTGAGGCTGATGTGGAGATGAAACAGTAGGAGTAGAAGTGGATGGATCATGTTGTGGGGTTAAGTCTAATGCTCTTGTATGAGAGGGATGCGGTAAAATGGGAATTTGAGCAGAAATAGGGATAACAGGTGGAGTATCATCCTTAGTGTGTGTCCAAGAAGAGTAAGGAAATCTGTAGTCATTGAATAAAACATCTTTTGAGATGTAAATTCTGCCTTGTTGTCTTAAGCTAACATAACCTTTGTGACTGGTGGAATATCCAAGAAATAAGCATTCTTGAGAATGAAACTCAAGCTTATGTCTATTATAGGGTCTCAAGAATGGAAAATAGGCTCATCCAAAGACTGATAGTCTGGATTTTGCTTATGCAGTTTAGTGAAGGGAACACCAGAATTTAGGGAGGCAGTTGGGAGTCTATTGATGAGATACACAGTTGAAAGGAAAACATAATCCCAGAATTTTAAAGGTAATGAGGCATGAGACAGTAGAGTCGGACCCAATTCAACAATATGACGATGTTTGCGCTGAACAACCCCATTTTGATAATGAGTGTGAGGACATGCAAGTCCATGATTAATAGCATGATGTTTGAGGTAATCAGTAAAAAGACCTAAACTCCCCACCCCAATCTGTTTGCAAAGATTTAATAGGAAGCTGAAATTGTGTTGTTATCATTGAATGAAATTGTTTGAAGACAGTGAGAGCATCAGACTTTTGTTTTAAAAGGTATATCCAGGTGTAACGAGTATTAGCATCAACAAAAGAGATGTAATAAGTGTATCCCAAGGTTGATTTAAAAGATGCAGGCCCCCAAAGATCATTATAGATTAAAGCAAAAGGTGTGTCATATTCAGTCAATGAAATAGATGAGGGAAGTCTATGTGCCTTTCCAATACAGCAAGAGGAATAGAAATCACTGACAATTTTATTCGATGTAGGTATATTACAAGAATGAAGGACATTTTTCAAGGTTACATGACTGGGGTGTCCTAAACAACAATGCCATAGAAAATATGTAGAATTAGAAGGTATACAAGACTAATCAACAAAATTACAAGGCTGATCAACAAAATTACTACCACTTTGAACATTATTACAGAGAGGAATAACACTAGAATTAATGGTGTTTGGACTTGAATGAGTGGAATGAGCAGAATGTGCAGGATTCTGAGGAAGTGTGATGTCTGAGAAACGATACAGACCATCATCGCCAAGCACTCCTTTAAGAAGAATATTATGAGAGTCCTGCGATTTAACAAAGCAAACATTTAGATGAAACTCTAAGTAAACACAGTTGTCTCTAGCAAATTGATTAACACTTTGGAGGTTTTTCATTATAGAAGGAATTAACAAGAGATTTTTAAGATGCAATTGCTTATTAGAATCATATGGAGAGACAAAGTGAGAAGAACCAATAGCTTTAATGGCCAAACCTTGCCCGTTACCAATGATGATTTGATCAGAACCACTTAGCTGTTGGCTCTGAAGCAGATTCATCGAGTTGGCAGTGACATGATGTGATGCACCCGAGTCAGGAAACGACTCGATTGCAGGAGGAGTGGTAGGAGTTGGAAGAAGACCAGGTTGAGCTGCCACCATAGCCTGAGGTGCAGTAGAAATATGCCTAACATACTGATAAGAGCGTTGCTGATTCAATGGAGGCTGTCTTTGAGTGAAGAATTGATGGTTTGATGGAGCTTCTGGAGGTGGAAGGCTGGGTACAAAGTCTTCATCAAAACGGTAGTCTTCACATCGTGACCGTACTTGTGGCTTAGCTAGCAGTATACATGCAATCTGTTTTCACGCCCTCTACCTCTGTTGGATCTTCCATTAAATCGTCCTTGTCCTCTATTCGAACCATTGGAACGTAAGGCATCATCAAATCCTGACTGTTGCGATGTCTGACCAGTGCTTTGTTTCTGATTCTCTAAAACAGGGGCGAACAGAGCATTATTTGAAGTAGTGTTGCTCTGTTTCTGAGCTACATTCACTGTTGCTGATTCGAGGATAGCTTCGCTCTGTTTGAGGAGCATCTGTTCATGAGTCATGAGCTCAATAGCTAGATCTTCAATCGAGTAAGGGTTTTCTCTTCCATATACAGTAGTAACAAAGGCGTTGTATTCGACTGGAAGGCCTTCGAGTATATAATCAGTTCGATCCTCATTTGTCAATGGATTTCCTATGGCCTTGAGTGAATCATATAAACTCTTTATTTGCGTCAAGTATTCTTTTACAGATCTATTAACTTTCTTGATGGATCTGAGTTCAGAACGTAACTGACGAGATCTTGACTTCATCACTCCATGAAAGAGCTTGTGAATTTTGTCCCAAGCTTCGTTAGCATACTTCACTCCAAGAATCTCGTTCACAACAGATTCTGAGATAGTAGATTTGAGCCACGACGAAAGCATCGAGTCTTGTCTGATCCATTGAACATATGTTGGATTCTGGATCTCGTTCAGTCAATCTTCCTCTGTTTCGTACTGAACTGGAATTTTTGAATTCACCAGATTACGATGAAGCTGGTGTGAAGTAATGATTGGTTCAATTATCTGATTCCAGAACAGATAATTATCCTCAGTGAGCTTAACAATGATTTGGTGATTGAAGAGAAGTGGTGCACGATTCTCCATTAATGTTGAATCTCTCTTCGATCTTGAAAAAGTTGTAGCGTTGTTACCGGATGAAGCGTTGTTGTCAGATTCTGACGCGGAAGACATAGTGAGTACGAAAATGGATCAGGCCCACAGAACGAGAGCTCTGATACAATATTCAAATATTGTGAAGAAGCCATAGATGAGGGGAGAGCGAGAGTGAGAGAGAGAGTTTGAGGAATTTGAATCTGTATATTGTAATAATGAATCAAGATACAAGGCACTCTAATATATAGAGTGAGATAGCTGACTCTGGTAATGAGTCTGATCTAACAAACTAACAGACCTGAAAACAAACAGAGAAATAATCTGATACAACTATCACCCAATACACTAAGCAAATGCTACTACAGTTACAGCAACACAATAAGCAAAGAAGCTATACATATACATCTAATAAAATGTAATTTTTTTTTTAAAACTTGCAATACCATATCTTGCAGCAAGCTCTAACTAAAATCCTTCATTTTAATAGGAGTTATATGTGAAATTCAATTATACACGTGTGATCCCTATTCTATGTTTCAAACAAAATATTATAGAGTGATCTGATTATGGGAACCTAATTGGGTTGATATTTATGCTAAAGGATCAAATAACCACTTCCACTGGTTATTTGGTCCGTGAGCACAAATTTTGCTGTCATCAAGTCCCCGCCATTGTTAGTGATAATTTTCATGGGATGTTTGGGCCATTTAATTACCATTTTCATAATTTTCAGTTTATAGTTAATTACATTAGCTGCTTCACTTGTATCTGAAATTCTAGTATTTTTCCCTGACACTTCAGGAAAGTGGCTTGGAAGCAGACAGATTCGGTGTAATTGGGCTACAAAAGGGGCTAGTTCCAGTGATGAAAAGCAGAATTCAGATTCTAGAAGTGTCGTTGAGTTAACTAATGGAACATCTGGTGAGATTGAGTTTATTGTACTAAAATTCCATTTAGGGGGCTCCTCATTTTCTTTTTCTTTTTAAATTTATTTATTTATTTATTTTGGTTTGCAGTTTGCTTTAGAGGTCAATGAACTCTAGTTTCCATTGCCTGTTTCTTGAAAGCACCTATGAAGCTTAGAATAATTTCTGATGGAAACAGTTACTGATTCATTATTCTTAAAATATTTGAATTGAAAGAAAATTTAAAACCCATTGCTATCAGATATGAAAATGCACATCAAATATTAGCTTTTCAAGCTGCTGATATAATATTTTGGTTTATCTCCTATATGTACGTCATGATTGATATTTTTCAAATATTTATGTTTTGCACATATTTGGATATTTCCCACCAATTGATAATTGACCTGATTGTAGATTTTGCTTGGTGAACGATCTTTACTTCATGGTTGGATTGTTCTTTTATTGCAGAAGAAGGCCAGGAAATAACCAATGATGACACTCCAGAGAAGAATCCTCAATATACCACTGTTTATGTTGGCAATCTTGCTCCAGAGGCAAGGATTAGTTTTGTTTTCTGACAGTGTTTACCTTACTAGTTCTTCATATCTATCTAGAAGTACTTTTTCTTGCTATTTTAAATATGTGTAGTATAAACTAGTCGTATAGCTATGTGCATAGATGGGGAGTGCTTCACTGCTTCAGTACTATATTAGGCAGTTAGATTTGCAAGTTGTATAAAATTTGTATTGCAGAGTCCTGTAAATTAAGTTTTTGCTGAAATTGCTTTGTGGCAGTTCTCATAGGCTGTGAAACTGCAGGTTACTTCTGTTGATCTCCAGCATCATTTTCATGCCCTTGGTGCTGGAACTATTGGAGATGTTAGAGTACAAAGAGACAAAGGTTTTGGGTTTGTGAGATACAGTACACATGCGGAAGCAGCTCTTGCTATACAGATGGGTAATGCTCGGTTTCTGTTTGGCAAACCTATCAAGGTACATTGCTACTGTAAGATATTTATTTGTTGATAATTATATTATGTTGTATGTCCTATTGATATGACTGTGTTACTTAATGGCTTTTTGTTTAGAGGTGTTCGTCGTGGCATATTACCTGGGCACTACAACAAAAAAATGTGTCATTTTAAGGGATTTATTAAACTGGTTTTTGCTGTCTTCCTTTCTCAGAACCTGTTGTTCACAAAGATCTTACATCATATTCTCAACCATATATAATTTGAGCTTTTATAGTGCAAAGGCTCTAAAAAATGTTGTATCTAATCTTGTTAACTGATATTTTGTAGTGTTCATGGGGTAGCAAGCCTACTCCTCCAGGAACCGCCTCTACTCCTCTTCCCCCACCAACTTCTGCACATATGCCAGACTTTTCACTTGCCGGTCTTGCAGCATATGAACGCCAGATGGCTTTGACCAGAATGGGTGGCGCACATGCCCTTATGCATCATCAGCAGGGTCAGCATGCCCTAAAGCAAGCAGCCATGGGAATGGGTGCTTCTGGGGCTGCTTATGGTACGGGATTCCCTAGTGTTGCATCCTCCCAGCACCTAATGTACTATCAGTAAAATGTGTTGTGTAACTCCCTATGATATACAAGGGAGGATTAAAGTCTATTGAACCGCCAGAACGGTTCTACAATACCGTTAACTTCTTCCTCCCCTTGCCATACGGCTGCTCTTCTCACTTTCTCTTTCCATTTTTTTTTTTTCTTTTTCGCCTTTTGTGGGCTTATTTATGCTTGATACATTTGTATTACTACAAAATCTTAGCCATTGTGTGTATTGATGATTTGTCTTCTATTTTCTAATGGGAATGATTTTATGATTCGGTTGTCGTGATTGTAATGACGCCGTTAGCCTTGTTAGCGTGGACACCAGCTGTTTAATTTTAATTAGCCTTGTTATAGCTTTGATGTTTGGTTCTTATTAAACTAAATAGACTGAAGTAAACAATTATTTATATGTTTATCGATATTAACTAGAGCAACATTAATATAATAAAGTTCAATATGAGAATAATATTTACTCTATTATGCAAAGGGGGATGAGATGGGGGTTGTAATCCCAAATTATGTTAAGTTGTTAGTACCGTTCTTTCTTTGCTTTGTATTTCAAAGAAAAAAAAATATATGGCTCGAACCTTATATATTTACTTTAACATAGACTTTTTAAGGTATGATCTGATTTTTTGTAAAACTCTTGCTTAAAAAAACTGCCAATCAACCCCAAGGTGTGACACAGGTGCCCAAGAAGCCAACTATTGTGATTGAAAAATCATTGGTTTAAATTTTATATAATGAAGGAGATTAGTCTCATCCAAATTGATGCGAACACTCCTGAAAAAAAATAAAAATAAAAAATTACCGAATCACTTATGTTATAATCTTCAATATCTTTTTTTTTTAGTAATTTTTTTTTAGTAAATAATCCTCAGTATCTTTGATATGGCTATGTTTTTCATGTATCCTTCAGACTAAATGGTGATTTTATAAACTTATGTAATTATAAAAGACATTTTTTTTTTTTTTTTTTTCAGATGAATCTTTAGAATTATCACTGCTTAACTTCAATTTGTCTCTTTGAAATTTTACTTAAAAGTTTACTTTGTAATAAAACTTTTAAATATATCAATAAACTTATCTTCGAATAGATCAATAAATATTTGAATAGGATAATAGGCAATGTCTTCACCAAATACATCGCTTAAATTTGACTTGCTTACATGACATAACATTTTTTTTCTTTAAGATATGACTTTACCTTTTTAAAAGCATTGCTTAACCTTCCAAATTTATTTAAATACCTAATTTGTAATAAGATTTTAAAATAATCAAAGAAATGATAATATTATCATATTTAATTAAACTGGCCGGCTGGTTAGACCTAATAGGTTATTTAAGTGACTTGAAGTGTAATTCTTTTTTAGCTAAATATGTTTTTTAAAAAGATCTTTGTTAGCTAAACAGATTAAGTCTAATGTGAGTACTGAGTAAGGTGAAGGCTTCTTATGGGTCACGTGGCCTATATCTACCACTAACATGTATTAACGTTTCATGAATGCTATCATAGTCAGTCCATCGAAGAGTATCGTTAAAGCAAATTTAGATTTAAGGGGAATCCTATGCGTGACAATGTATTTACAATTTTTAAGTTATAAATAAGTGCATACTGTAAAATTTAATGAAAAATATATTGTTGCATATAAAATTTATCATGAACTTGAGTTTATAGTAACACTACTTTTTATTTAAAATTGTTTGCAGTTTATTAAATATTGAATTTTTCTTCAATTATTTAGATGAAATTCTTGCATTATAGAGTTTGGCACCTGTGCAAGAATTACATCATTAGGGGCATTCTATAATGCAAGAATTACACCTGTGCCATACTCATTCGTGGTTATTGACTGCAAACAATTTTAATGAGTAATATTAAAATTAACTGCAAACAATTTTTCTGTAGTGCAAGAATTACGTAGGTGCCACAAACGAGTACAGAACATGTGTAATTTTTGCATTATAGAATGCCCCTAATGATATTTATAAAAAATAAACAAAACTTCAACGAATGTTGTTTCGTTTTATACAGAGTTGATCTTGAAAACAGTGCCTAATATTTCACAAAATAGTCGCGAAGTTGATGAAAAATAAATTAATACTTGAGTAAATATCTTTTTGGGTCTCTAACAAAAAATACGGTCCCCACTTTAGTCCCTTACAAAAATAAATTAGTCAATTAGTCCTTAAAAAATTCAAAGTGGATCCATTTTAGTTCTTTTGAGGGACTAATATGGGTCTTCTTTAAATTTGTGAGGGGTGACGATTTCAACTAAATGGGTTCACTTTGAATTTGTTAGAGACTAACTGACTAATTTATTTTTGTAAGGGACTAAAATAAGGATCGTATTTTTTTGTTAGGGATCAAAAAATATATTTACTCTGAATACTTACACCTTAGATTATTCCCGTAATTAACACAAGTAATCTATCGTTGTGGTAGGAAATGTGAAAGCCATTGCATAAAATTTCGTTTTCTTCAAACTCACGTTCAAATTATGTAAGGCTTTTTCCCCAAAATAATAATATTACCCCCCCCCCCCCCCCCCCAACGCACAACACACCCACAAACTAGGCATATGAAATTTATCATGTGGCTGAAAGGTCATTTACATTGAATTTCAGCCAAATTAACAATACTTACATAACTTATTAATCACCAAAAAAATAAAATAAAGTGCTTACATAACTTATTAGAAAGAAACTTGTAAAAGTAATGTTGCTCTATCTACTTATGCCAAGATAACACTTTCCCCTCTCAGAGAACAGGGAGCACAATGATGTTCACTTTTGGGGAAAATATGAGAGCAGAAATACAATTTTTGTAGTGGGGCATATACCCACGAATAATAAAAAGTGGGTTCCCAAGCATAAAGTAGCTGGGAACCATGATATGATTCTCTTTAAAATCCTTCTTGTTTGATGATTTTTTTTATTTTAATTTTTTTGGGTTAGTGGGGAATGGGGATGGTTTTCCACACTCCACACTCCACACTGATAGTTGGATTCCCTTGTCGTATTCATTCCACTGGTGGTGCTTTCATTTTCAAAGGGGTCCTCCCACAGTCCCCACCGAAGGGCATCCACTTAAACGACGAAATAACATATTTATGAGATAGCTTCTTGTGTTAAAAAAAAGGTCCTAATACACGCACCCTTTTACTCCACTTTCATCCCCCTTTTGTCGTCTTAGAAGACTTATGCTCCATTTATGGGTTGCAATGAAAGCAATCCACAAGAAACCAAAGAAAAATAAAATAAAATAAAATATTTTTTATTTAATTTTATTTTTGTTGAAATATTCAATATATTCCCCTTTCAACTGAGTATCGCAGGCCTAAAGTATTCAACTGCCTCTAGCCAATCACTATACTAACTCGAGCTCAACGCGACTTTGATATCAAATGTTGAAAATCTACAATCACATACAAATCAAAAAATAAAAAAGAACACAGAATTTTGACACGGCGATTTATCTGATTCAACCAATGTAGGTTACGTCCAACTTGTCTATACTATATTCACTTCACCGTCACTCGTTACAAGTCATTCGGTTTACGAAAAGAATATAAATAGGATTAGAAAATCCTAACAATAGTTATTCATGGACTCAAGCCCAACATTGATTGGTAATGAATTAAGTGAAATGGATATAAGTGGATGGACTCATAAACCTATTGCCTTAAGATTTTTGATTGAGATGTAGTGTTGAACTCACTTGATACGATACGATTGGAGTAGCTTAGTCAATTGGTGGTGGTCCCCTGTCATGAAGTTCCCCTAACAATTTTACACATATCACTAAATTTTAATTTGATTATTATATTAAAAAGTTTTTAATTAAATACTCACACGTTCAACAGTTTTTAACTTTACTCCTGTTCGAGAGTGAATATCAATACGTAATATAAGGTTAATAAGGTGGGTGTTTCTGCGAATGATGAAGGCTCTAAGGTTAAAAGTATGACAATAATCTGATAGTGCTCCCATCAAGTTATGTGTAGGAAGTGTCCTCTTTATTGATACTATTCTTGTATTTATACTGGTTATAAGGAGCAGTTAATGGCCTTAGCGGTTTCCTATGGGTGATCATGGATAGAGATAGTAGGAAGAAGATCATGGGTATGAACCCACCTAGATTTATGGACTAGAGCCCTAGTCGAACGGTTCTATATCAAGCGGAGTAAGGTTACTTGGAACAACTCCTATAATTTGTTACTATTACAAAATTATAAGATTGCCAATTACTGTAAACTCAGTCAGTATAAGAACCAGAAATTCCTGGCTGTTTTACTCTTTTTTAATTTGATCCTTATGCGATGATTTTTTTTAACAATAATTGATGTAAGAAACTAAATTAAATTCTCCTATACATGAGATGATAACTAAAAGTTTATGTTGGAGACAGAACAAACTAAATCTGTGCAATTGAGATCTCAAGTTCATTATTCTTGCCTTCGTGATAACAGAAAAATACATCAGAATATCTACCATTTTTTCCGATCAAAAATTTTCTTTCGGTTACGATCAAGCTTTCTTAATTCTCATATATTCCAGATAGTCAATACTATATAGTATAGCCGTATATAACGTTTCGTAGGTATATTGATGAACTCGTAACACCAGTTGCCAGAGTCTGATATACCAAAGACTAAAGGGCAAGAATTCCAGTTGAAAATATTTGTTCCCTTTTATAAGATGATGAACTTGACATTTCCACAGATCTAGAAGCTTCTGACCTACATCGCTCTCTGCGCTCGTCCATCATTATTTGATTTGAACGACACTCTGTGCTACAAAACGCTTTCTCTCCTCTGTACACAACAACAAAAGAATTATTATGAGTTCATATGTCTCACATAAATCTAAAGCCAAAGGTTAAAAAATTGAACAAGTTTTGGATTGATCAATACCTATACATATATATGTCTTTGCCATGGAGTTTCTTTCCGCATAAGTTACATGAACTGAGAAAATCTGAGGTTGGAAATGATGGTTCGGGATCTACTAAAATTGGTGATGTGGTTCTACTGAGAACACCAACGTTGTTGTTGTTGTTGTTGTTATTATACCCGTGTCTCGTAATATCAACTTCACCATCATCGTAGTAAACCTTAGTGAAGGTTTTGTTAGGCACGTGGCATGTCACATAGGTGTATTCCTCCAAGCTTCCCACATCAATAATTTCGTTCACACTTACAACTTTCTGAAACCCATCTTGGTTTTTCGTGCAGTGAATTGGGATTGGTCCAGATCGGTTCGAATTGGAGTTGCAAACAGCATGTTTGGGCAAAACTTCACGCCCAATTTCGCTTGATTTATCAAGGGCCACCACAATTCCAAGACCAACACCACCAAGGTCGTAGCTTTTTAAGCCTCTTGGTGACTTCATGTCTAACGGGCTTCTCGGGCTTCCGGTGGTGTCCATAAGCGCCGCCGTACGGCCTCCGGAGACCAATAATTCCGACAACTTTCCGATCATTGGGAGTGGTCTCTTCCCCAACATGATCAGAAATTTGTAGTGAGAGAGATGATGGAGAATGGTTTGGTTTGTTGTCCAAGACTATCTCTAATGTGGGTGTCTTTATAAGACCCACTATAAAGTATAAAGTCATCATCTTAGGGGTCTTAATATTAATTGATGGAGTGGTTGGACTAAGGCCAAGGTTTTGTTTGGAATTATATAGGTCATTGATTGTAACAATTAATATTTATTTCGTGTTTTATTATTTAATTCAACAGATGGTGTCATATTTTATTGGTTTTGATTTCGTTGCTGATTAAACTGATTCCTTTTCTTGTGATAATTTTTCCTTAATTATATATCGGGTCACTTGTCAGTGGACCATATTCTTAAAAAAAAGTGTCATTTTCAATTATTGAGATACCGTATAGAAAATATAAACATTAATTTAAGAAAAAAAAGTATTTGTCATTTTAAGAGAGAGATAGACACAAAAAAATATTTTTTATTTAAAATTTAAATTAAAAAAAATCACTCACTTTCTTTCTCGTGATTTTCATTCTTTGTGTCTATCTCTTTCTTAAAATAACATAACTTATGTTATTTAAAATGACAAACACTAAACCCTTAATTTAATAGAGGCTTTGAAATTGCGTGGTCAAATTAATATGTGCAAAATGTTGAGGTTTGGTGTGTTGATTATAGTTACAGGTAGAATAATTAATTGAAATAATCAGATGATTTAAAATTAAAATATTGATTTCTAGTCTCCGTAGTTATTTGGTTTCAATTATAATTTATTATGATTGACTGATTCTTAAGTGCTAAGTTACTTAATATATTATTACTATTAAAATAAAAGAAAATAAAATTTAAATATTTTCAACTATAGTGTTTTAGTACAACCTTTACCTAAAATGGATATATTTTATTACATTTTAAATTTTAAATTAGGAAATTATATGATTATTAAGTGTTTGTATCTAATAAGTACTGTGAACTGTTTCCAAAAAAAAAAAATAGTACTGTGAACTAATTTTTGTTGTAAACTTTCCTATAAAAAGATAATCTCGGGATCTGACACTCAAAGGGTCGTTGTGTCGTTGTCTCTCGTTGAGAAGGATTCCATGGAATTTGGACCGTTGGATGGAGGACCACGTGTACAGTGTATTGAGACAGTGTGTACTGGAACCACGTCACGGAGCCCACTGATTTTGAGATTTGGAAAGCGACATGGTCGAGCCCACTCCAAAAATAAATGTACCTTTCACGACCAAATTACATTTATATCCCTGAGATATTCTATCGTTTTCTTTTTATTCTAATTACCACCAAAACTTTGTGGATACGATGTTGTGATTTTAAATGATATATGTTATGTTATTTTAAGAAAAATAAATGCAAAAAATGAAAATTATAGAAGAAAAAATAGATGGTTTTGTTTTAATTTAAATTTTTAATAAAAAATAATTTCTCATATTTATCTCTCTCCTAAAATGACATAACTTTATGTCATTTAAAATAACAAACACTTCTCCCTAGCTTTATACTATTGAAAGAAAGAAAATTTCGAAACCCAAAAAGAGAAGTATACCTTTATCTTTCTTTAGACAAAACACTCGTTTCAATGAACGGTTTATGTCTTTTATTATTGTTTTCTATTAGTGAAAAAATAATCTACGACAATAGCAATTTAATTTTTACAATTCTTTTTTTTTTTTGTGATGAAAAAAGTCTAACATTTAAAGTAATGAGGGAGATGGTATGACAAATTTAAAGCAAGGTAGCCATTTAGCCAAAAAAAAAAGCAAGGTAGCCTCATTATGATTTGAATACGAAAAGTAGATTCTAAAAAGTTTAATACTACATAGACTAAAACTCTTATATTATTTTTATAAAGCTAACTACAATAATTAGAAATACTCGCAACTGGGCTAAATTTATTCAAATTAAAAATCAGAATCTAAATAAAATATATTAAGTTTGGTTTTGTTTAGTTTTCCTCTTTCAAAAATAATCGGTTTAAACTTTCAATTTCTGTTTATGAAATTAAATCAAAAGAAACTATATATATATATATATATATATATATATATATATATATATATATATTTTAGCTTACTAATGTTTTTATATAGAAAAAAAATTAGGTTAATCTGTTGTTTGATATCAATTAACGATGTTTTTATTAATTTTTTTTTTTGAATTTTTATTTATTTAAGAATAAGTGTTTATTTAAAAAGTACTTAAACCAAATAAAATCCTTTAAAAGATATTAAGTTGTGTCATTTTAAGTGAGAGAAAAACATAAATTAATATTTTTCATTTAAAATTTAAATTAAAAATATTCACTTTCTTCCCCCATGATTTTTCTTGCTTGTGTCTTTTTCTCATTTAAAATGACACAATTTTATATCTTTTAAAAGAAAAAATATCAAACCCATAATTTAATTTTGTTTTGTTAGGGGAAGTATCTGTTACAAACTTTTTTTACAAATTTTACCAAAGTACATTATATACTCCTAAAAGTACATTGTGTAACATAGTATACTTTCGGGAACGCATAATATAGTTTGTAAGAGCTTGTAGACAAAAAGTTATAAATATAACCCTTCCCATGATCCGTTTACAAACTTTTTTATAAATTTTTACAAATTATATTATGTACTCCCGGAAGTGAATAATGTAGTTTGTAAATAAAAAGTTAAGTATATAGTGTAATTTGTAAAAAATTACACTTTTCTTACAAACTACACTATGTAGGGGTGTTCGCGGTCTGGATTGGATCGGTTTTGGAAGCAAAAATCATCCCATCCAATCCCTTCGGTTTGATCATATAATCATCCATTCGGTTTGAATTTTTTTCAAATCCGATCCGATCCAATCCAAATTTTTTTGGTTTGGATTAGATCGGTTTTTGGTTTTTTGAAAATCCTAAAATTTATTTCATGATTATTGTGCAAATAACATCTTTTGTATATATTGACTTTGTAATTCTTTTATTTTTTTGAAATACAAAAGCATTAGAAAACTATAATATAATTTTTTTTTGGGCAATGAGATATGAAGCTCTACAAAGATATAATTTTGTTAATGAGATGTTACTAGATTTTTTCTTGGGTTTAGTTGATGGGTTAATGGGTCTTGGATTTATAAATTTTTGGGCTATGATTGGGGAAAGACCCAAGTAGGTAGACAGAAATTAATATATTGGATCGGTTTTCATCAACTCATCCAAAAACCGATTCAATCCAATTAAAATTTACGATTTTTTTTTCTGTTTATTCGGTTTTTGATTTTTCGGTTCGGTCACCGCGATTTGAATCGGTTTGGATCGGTTGATGAACACCCCTAACACTATGTACTCTTGGAAGTACACTAGATTACACTATATACTTCCGGGAATATGAAGTGTAATTTGAAAAAATTTATAAAATCTTTTTGTAAACGAATCATTTCTTATATTTTTTTATATAAAAATATTTAGGTTAATATGTTGTTTGATATCAATTGACGATGTTTCTACTAAGTATTTTCTTTTTGAAAAAATTGTTATTTATTTAAGAAAAAGTGTATTTATACCCAGTAAAACAGACTATGATTAGTTTAATTTGTTTTTGCTCAGTCCTCCAAATGAGAGCAAATTAATAAGTTTCTAAAATAAGAAAACGGAAACCTCCAAGGGTAGCTCAGTTGGTAGCTGAGCTCCCAAAGGATTGCTTGGTGCAGAGATCAAACCCTGTTTCAAGCAGTTTCTTAGAAACTCCTGGCAATGTACCAAAAAAAATTAAAAGAAAATAAGAAAACGGAATGATTTGATTTGAATGACTTTTTATCTTAAAAATTTGACAAAATGGATTTTAAATGATTGAAAAAAAAGTCATGTGGTATTCAATTAGGATTTTAAAAGATTATTTTAGAGTCCGTCTAAATTCGTTGGTATTCAATCAGAATTTTAAACAAAGGAAAAATAATATTGTGGTATTCAAAAATCTTACGATTTTAATGAATTTTTTATTGGTGTGGATTTCGCGAGACTTTTTAGTGAGAAATATAAACAGGATGTCTCTCTCACAATCTCACCCTAACCCTTAGGATTTTTTGAGATTTCTCTATTGCACTGTCTTTTTTTTTTCTTTAGTGGGTCAACATGCTAGAAATTGAGTTCCGCCGTGGGAGCTTCATCAAAGCAAAAAAAATAGATTTTTGAGCGATTTTCATCACAAAACAACTCAGAAGCAACAACCCAACAAGATTTTAATATAATTCATCTCAAAAACAGCAGATTTTGAAGCAATTTTTGAAAGTTTAAAAATGATTTTTCAAGCTATTGGTCATAATTTTTCTTGGTACAAAATTGTGTGATTTTTGTATTAAAAACAATATAAAATAGTGGAAAAACAACAGGGGAACAAAAATTCTTCAAACCAATTTTCATTTTACATCTATGAAACAAGATCGATTGAAACTTTCATAATATGAACCCTATGCTTCATAATAATATATTCATGAACGAAATTTCTTTGCTATAGGACACGATTTAAAACAATTTTTGTGTCAATATATCACAAAAAACTTGTTTTTCAAAAACCCCTAAGATTTCAATGTATTGATTGAAAGCAATTTGAAATTTTTTTTAAACTTTTATGTAATAAAACCCAGAAATTTAGATTCAAAATTTTCTTAGACTACTCAATGAAAATATGCATATGATATATTATTAAAAAACTCTTATCACGTAGAACAAAAATCCCAAAGTTTACAAGATCAATTGTAAAAAATTTCAAACGAAAATTTATCATAATTTTACTAATTGAGAAAATTATATTACATTTTTTTATTAATATCTTTGCATTTCTTTATTAACTTTTTTTATTGACTCTTGTAATTTTTAATGTTTGTTAAAAATTCAGATGGTTTTTTAAAATCTTATAAATTCATGTTGTCTTTTCAAATCTTATAAATTCATGTTGTCTTTTCAAATCTTATAAATACTATTAAAATCTTTTAAAATTCAATCTTATGAAATCTTGATTGTAAAAAAAGTTTTTTAAAAAGGTCGTTAAAGTCTCTCCAATTTTGAGTAGTCTTTTAAAATCTATAAGATTTTT